CCGCTGGCAAAAAAAAAAAAAAAAAAAAAAAAAGAATACTTTGTATGGTTCTCGCCATAGTCTAGGCCACTTCATGACTGACTACATCCATTGATACAGAAAATCCTGCCAAAGACTCTACTATATTAAAAAACCAACAAACAAGGCATGCCAAAAGAATGGCAAAAAGTCAAGAAAAAGAGTTGTATTTGGCTCACTGTGTGAATTCATCTTGTTGAGGATCTTCCTCTCTTATGGTGACCTTTTCAAACATGATGTTCTTTTCCAAGGATTGGCTCCTCTTAGCAAGATGTCCAAAGTATGTGAGATGAAGTTTTGTCCTCCTTGCCTCCAAGAAGTACCCTGGTTGCACTTTTCCAACACATATTCCTTTGTTCTATTAGCAGTCCATGGGATATTTAGTACTCTTCTCCAACACCACAATTCAAAGTATATTAGAGAAGATAAAGAAGGTCCAGGAATGGGTGGGGTTCGGATTACTTGTTCATAAGGGTTGCTATGAGTTATAGTTGACTCCAAGTACAACAACAACCCCGAGGGGGAGGGGGGAAAGAAAATGGGAAACAGGAGAACCTGCAATCAGCACCATTCTGTCAGAGATATTTAATCATTACATTGTTTGATATCTATAGAAAGTTAAAGTTTCCTCTTTCCATGAATAAGCTAAATCTAAGTGCCCACCGTTTCTTTGTTTGTTGTCATGTGTCTAGAGTCCCTGCGACTCCTAGTGACACTATATATAATAGCTCTGAAGCCTGCCCGGTCCTGAGTCAATCTCACTGACTCAACACATCAACCCCCATTGCCCTAGTTACTGTATCAATCCATCTTATCCGGGGTCTTCCTCTCCTGCACTGTCCATTCACCCTTCTGAGCATGATGCCTTTCTCTAAGGACCGGTCCTTCGAGGCCACGTGCCCAAAGTAAGTGAATGGAGCTTCAAAATCCTAGCCTCCAGGTAGAAACTTAGTTTCACCCTCTCCAAGACAGACCTATTTGTTTTCTTGGCAGTCCATGGTATGTTCAAGACTATTCTCCAGCGCCACAACTCAAAGGCATCAATTCTTCTCCTGTCATCGTTAGTCATTGCCCAGCTCTCTGATACATTGCAAGTTAATTGTGAAGACCATGGGCTGGATCAGGCGCACCTTAGTATCTAGAATGACATCATTGCTTCTTAGTACTCTGGAGAGGTTCCTCACAGCAGATTTACCTAACGCAATTAGTCTGATTTCCAGACTACTGGTGTTTTCTTTATTATAAGGTGACAAGTTGGTTTTATTGATAAATAGGATATTTGCAGATATAGACATGAAGGTTAAACAAAAGGTGCTAACTTTAGGAAGGTTACTTCAACAGGTTGGTGAGAAGAAAATTTCTTTTCTCCAATACAGTTAGGATTAGCTGGGGGATGGGTTTAGGAAACTGAAGGAGGAGACAAGTATGGAGGTTTTTCTAAAGTGTCAATCTGCACTCTTTCATCAGTTCAACACGCAGGCAAGAGCGAGTTTCTGCGGAAATATATGCAGTATGGGTTGATTGTTTTATTAATATGCATTGCATGTCTCTGTGTTTAAAGTGTTAGGCTGCTAACCAAAAGGTCAAGGTTGTCTGCTCACAACCTCTCTGTGAGAAAAACATGTGGCAGTCACCTCCCTAAAAGATTTCCAGCCTTGAAGACCCTCTGGGGCATTATTCTGTCATATTGGATCACTATGAGTCAGAAAGCACTCCCTCCACCTCATCCAACAAGAAAACTGCAAGGAAGCAAAGTCAAGGAGTGAGATTATATATACTTCATACACAATCCAAAACAATAAAAAAAATGAATACTACACAACGAACACAGCTTTAGGCATCTCAATTTCTAAAAAAAAAAAAAACCAAACCCAAAAAATAAAAATTGGAACAATGTCATGATAAAAATCAGTTGCACCTAACAATTAGACAATGTGACTTCATATCTTCAAGGAATATCATGTATGCCTCATTTTCCCAGTTTCAAGTTCTCTGACACACAATTTTCCGGGCTTTTTTTTCCCTTTACACGGTATTGGGTTTCTGGCCGCTTTACCGCTAAACAGCGGAGGTAGCAGAAGCGCCTAGAACAAGGTTCTCCACGTCGAGGTTTGGTTACGCCCCTGGTCAGTCCGACCACTTGCGTGCCGACGCCCCCGTGCACAGGGACAGTGCGCGCACGGTGATTGGTTCAGAGCCAGGATGGGCGGGACCACGAGGCCAGCCTATAAAATCTCCGCTCAGCAAAGCCCCTCGCTTTGCGCCGGCGTTTCTTGCTTCGTGTTTGTTCTGCGTCTGTCTCTACCTCTCTTCGCGCCCTCGTAACCGGGACCGGGACGCGCCCAGCGAGTCATGGCGACTAAGGCTGTGTGCGTGCTGAAGGGCGACGGCCCAGTGCAGGGCACCATCCACTTCGAGCAGAAGGCAAGGGTTGGGGCGGAGGCTCGCGGCCAGGCTGGTCGGTCGCGCACCTGCCCTCGGCCCGGGCTGGCACTGGGGCGGGCCGCCTTCACCACGCCCCCGGCTGCTCGGCCGCCACGCTCGGGGGGCCTCTGCCCCGAGGTCACGCTTCGCCCCAGGGCGCCAACCGCCTTAGTGCTGAGTCACCGGGCGGGCCTGGCCGCGGGGCTGGGCCTGGGCGGGGGCGCGGCGCGGGAACTCCGGGCCAGGAACCGGGCGAGAGGCTCCCCTCTAGCGCCCGCTGCGGCTGGTCGATCTTCAGGAGGGGGTGGGGACGTGTCGCCCCTGGACAGCATGTGACCATTTACTGCATGGCTGTTTCCTAGGTCCCGTGCGTTGCACGGACTCTCGGGTTGCGCAGGCTTGCGCCCCGTTTAGCGGCCTAGTAGTGTCGCATTCGCTATCCTTTTGGAACTACCTTTCTTTTATCTCTCTAGGGGTTTGCAAATTGCAGCCCATCTGTTCAAGTCGTCCCGTAACCCGTTTTTGTACAGCCTTTCAGCTAACACTGGTTTATGTTTTTAAATGACGGTAAACGTCATTTAGAAAGGATAGAGGCCGTCCGTGACCCTTTAGAGAAAAGTTTGTAGATACCTGATGTCTCTAGATCATGGTCAGGTCACAGTAGCAAAAGATGGACTAGGTTCAGCAGAGTGCTTTTTCTCCTTCGTGTTCCTGAAACCAGAGTGGTGATTGACTCCTTTGTTGAAGCATTTCCGGGACGCTGATTTTGAATCCAGCCTGCATAGTAGACTGAGCTAGAATTTTTTAAAGAAAACAAAAAAAACCCCAACCCCAAAAACCCAAAACAACACACAGGTACTAGGACCCCAACCTGTTACAGCAGAATCTCTTAGGGTGTAGGCGGTGTGTTGCCGCTCTTAAGTTTACAAAGTGATTTTAATGTGCATCCACGACTGAGACCATTTCAGTAGAGATTATAAGGTTTGGGATTTGGAATTTAGGTCCTCTGAGAGTTTTTATTCCATTAAATGGCACGTAACTGCTCTTGGAACATTCCATCGACTAGATTCTCCGCAGAGTGAGCCTGCAATTGCACTTCAGTAGATAGGTTGCCGAGAGGGTCAAAGGTAAACTTCTGAACAAATGTGAAACAAAATACACAAGAACATATCAACGTTATTGCAAAATGTATGTTACTAATAAATTACTTGAGATAAGACTGTCCCTGAACCTTAGTGAGGTTAAATGCCACAAGATTTTGTTGTATTTATTTGGGCTATTTGTTGTATTTAGATATATAATTAATCTGAATGTTTCATATATACATGAGATTTTGTTTTTAAAGTGGTTTAGAGAAAGATGAGAGGACAGAAGCAGTAATGTAGGTAACCCAGTTCTTGGAACTGGTACCAAGGGAGAATTTGCTTTTAAACGCTTTAAGAGGTTTCAGTACCATCAGCTAAATTAATGTTTTCTTTTATCAGACCTTCCTCCTGTTACTGATACTGGAAAATCAGAGAATCCTCTGAGTGATATTTTCCCTCTGATTATTGAGAAAGGGCTTGACACATAGACACAGGTTGAATGCATATAGAAATCTGCATTAGTGATGCACTGCAGTTTCCCCCCTTCTCTAGGCAGCTTGCTCAGGTAGTGCAAATCAGTCTGTATCTCTGTTTAGTTGATTGATAACATGGTGGTGGTTTGAACCCAGCATGTACTCTGCCAGAGAAGGATTAGAATCTTGAAAACCCAGTGGAACAGTAATAGGCTCACTATGACTTGAAAGTAACTTGCTGGAGGTGGGTGTGTGTACTATAGATGTCATAAATTTGCTATAAAAGATTTTATTTGACCTAGAACCTTTTGGGCTTGTTGCTAATGTGTACATAGTCTGCAAGGAGTTGCACTGCTTAAAGCGATGTGTCTCCAGCAGTTAGAATCCAGCCGGAACTCCATGGAGAAAGATGGACAGTTTCTTCCTGTTGAAATTTACAACCTCAGAAACCAGATATAATAAGGTCATTAAGAATTGGAACATACTCAGAGGCATTGCCAACTTAAAAGTTTGGTTTTTTTACCTGAAGGTCTGAAATCGCAGATGCATTTGATCTGTCCAGACTGAGTCTTTGATATCCCTGGATGACTACTGTAGCAATTACTGTTCCCTTTTGCTTCCTTGACCTCTGTTTGCTGATTTGACATCATGACCTGGCCCCTGTGGTTGCATTCTATGTGCTCTTGATAATACAGCTTTGAGGGACATAAAAGTCACATATGAGGTTTCCAGAATCAAAGATTGTATTTAGAGGCATTTATAGCCATCAAATAATTGAAATGGGCAGGAGAAATAAAGAGGTCAGTCAGCAGTTGTTAGATACTTATCTAAGCACCAGAGAGCCATTGCTAATGCCTCATAACTCTTATCTCTGGCTATTTAAGAAAAAAATGAGCTAAAAATAAAAACTCTAAACTTAGGTGTTATGTGATGTGAATGCCTTCATTTTGGTCAGTAGCTGTGCAGTAAATATTTCCCAACACAATTTCCTGCAGAGGATAATGCTTTGTTTTTTTTTCAGCTACTGTAGTAATTTTGCCCTTCCTTTTTTGTTAGAATTAAAGGTAGTTAGGAAGAAAAGCTATTGAGGTTTTGAAGTCTAAGATGACTTCAGAAAACACTGTACTTAGACTAGAATCATTCCCCTTTAGAGCAGTGGAACAGGATATTCTGTTTCTCAGAAAATAACTATAAAGGAAACGGTTAAAACATTCACTGAATAGAAGTCATAAATCAGGTAGGTAGCCAGTGGACATTTTCATGGAGCCTCTTTTAGAAAAAGCATACCTGTATATTTTGTGACATGAAATAATATCTACATGAAAAAGAATAAAGTACTAATAAAGTATGTGATGTGTTAGCATTTGGGTTAATAAGTTTTGTATATAAACATACATGACCATGTGTAAACAACAGATGTTCAGAAATGTTTACAAAATAAACATGTATAGGGAGAGGAACTCTGGCCGTCAGCCCAGAGGGCCTCTGGCAGCACTTATCTCCTTGGAATAAAGATAGGAAGATGACCAGTCTCCTGTGTGATTTACAGCCTCCGAAATACTCTAAAGGGTCAGCAATGAGTTGATTCCAGCTGGGTGGCAATGACTTTAAGGTGTTTGGGGGGTTTTTGGTTTTGTTTTGGTTTGGTTTTTT